AATACAAAGAAAAAATACATTAAAAAACACAAATAAATGAAGAAACACATGAAAAATATGTATAAAAAAAGTAAGAAACGTAAGGTTAAAGAGACGTATAATCCTATTTGATAGCAATATATATGCGATATAAAATTCAAATAAAAAATCTTAATACATTCTAGAAACTTGTATAATCACTATTTTTAAAATAAATAAATATTAAACGATAAATGCTTTGATAAAAATGATTAACTATTATATCCCATAAATGTTATAAATTGATCCAAGATAGTGTTATCTCAAAATCAGAAAATACATACACAAATTTGGTTGCGTTTCCAATAAACCTTTGTAATTATCAACATATATAATTAAAAATAAAATTAAATAAGGACGTGATATTCTAAATAATTAACATAAAATAAAATTCAAATCTTGTTTCCTTCTTTATTTAAATTACAAATCAAATAATTCTTCTTTCTTTATTCTCCGAAACAAACACACGTTGAAGAAACAATATGTCATATATAGTAAGAAAAAACTATAAGGACAAGTGCAATACGCAAGCAAAATCGTTATAATCAAATCCATTATTACATAGATTCAAAATAAAATATATACAATAAAATTAAACATCTATATATATATATATATATATATATATATATATATCATTATAAAAAATAATGCCAAAAGATTTTTATGACCATGCTGCAATATTAACACACTGAAACATGTAAATGTAAGATATTAAAAAATTTATTCAAAAATAATGAAAAGGGTTGGATTACTTTGGAGAAAGAAAGAAAATGAAACTGTAAAAAATAAAAGAATATTAATGTCAATTAATAGAAAATTTAAACATTTAAATGTAAAATAATATTTTAAAAAAGCAAATGATTTGAATAATAATGAAAAAAATATATTAAAAAAATGAGTGAAGTAAAATGACAAATAATTAAACAAATAAAATTTTTAATTTTCCTACCTTTTTCAATCGTTTTTAACATCAATATTTATAATGTCATTACAAAAAAAAATGTCATGTATTATCATATAGTCTATAATAACACAATATTTATCACTAAAAATTATTTTTACTTATACTATACAATATATGTTAGTATATTATTGAAAAGTCTAAGTATGAATTATAGTAACACATAATATGTGTTATTGAATTTTATTTAAAATCAATATTAAAATTATAGATATTAATTTATATATGCATATATTGTATTTATAGTGATACTTTTATATATTATTATATTTAATTTTTTTTTTGTAGTATGTAGTCAAAATTAAAAGACAATGTAATAGAAAAAATTAATTACGGAAAAAGATAAATATTTTAATAAAAGATAAATATGATCTAAAAAAAGAAAGAAAGAAGAAGAGTCAATCAAAGAATTAGAGAAATATAAATGAATAGTATGTGTGAGAAGTGGTAAGAAAAAAAAATTGGTTACGATTATCCTAATTAATGGAAAATAATCCAATTATTTCTAATGAATATATATTTTTTTGACAGTAAATGAAAATAATTTAATTACCTTAATTAATATATATTACTCATAATTGACGATAAAAAATATTACTTATAATTAAGTTAAAAAAAATACATTGGTTCGAGAATATATATAATTATTGTAATCATCTTAGTTACTATAATTATATATTTTTATGAATTAAAAATAATATAATTATAAAAATCTATTCATAAAATTTAATAAATTAATTAAATTCTCAAAATTTATATCTAAGTAACTACCAGAAAATATATTTGATAATAAAAAATAAAGCTGACAATGAATTGTATATCATAAATATAATTTAAAGAAAATATATAAAACTTTTATAAATAACAAAAGATATGTTGATAAATTGAAGATATTTAAACTTTATAATGAGAAAATAATATATTATGATTCGTAGGAGTTTGTGAGAAAGTGAAATGAGAATTGACAGTAGTAAGTAGTAACGCGGTAATTAGGTTTAGAGAGTAGAGAGTGAATGGAGATGGAAAAAGCAGTTACGTAATGAGAATGGCAGGTTTCAAAGCATGGGAATGCAAAAGCAATAGAAAGACAACAGAAACACCTAGTGAGAGGGGTCCCACTAGAGGAACGCTCGTGCATGTCACGGGCTGCTTCAGCTTCAGCCGCCACCACACACACACACTTCCACCACAAATTCATATTATTCGCTGTGCTTCATTCGGTCCCTTGAGATTGGGAAGCATTGGTAGCTAGCAAAGCAAAGCAAAGCTAAGCTAAGCTAAACTAAACTCAACTCATAACTCTTCACTTTTAGCTTAGCTTCTTCTGCTTTTGCAATCTCTACCATGTCTTCCACCGCTTCTTGCTTCTTCCTCCTCTTCTCTCTCCTCTCTTCACTTTCCGTTTCATCTGGTAACTTCCTTTTCCCTTTTTTTTTTTTTTTTTCTTTTTCTTTTTGCTTTTTCTTTCATTGTTTTCCCAGAAAATGAGCTGTTTGTTGAGTTTTTGGGTGGAGTGCAAAGACATGAAACACCCTTTTAAGTTTTCAGATTCCGTTTTCATGATGTTAGCACAAGATCTCTCTTTTTTCTCTCTCTTCTCTCTCAGATTTCGATGCAACAGCCCCTCCACAGAGCCCAGAAAAAGGCACACTTATTACCCGAACGAGGAGATTCTCACGTTTCTGGCGTCACCTTTAGTATCAAACACAAAGAAAGGCCCTTTTTTTTTGATAAAATATTCATGTGGGTCCTGGTATCGAGATTCTCCCTTTAACCCTCTCTCTGGGTGTGCCTTCTGGGCTTGTGTTGGGCCTGTGGATGAGTTGACATCTGATTCAAATGAAGATAGTGTTTGTGTTGTGTGTGGGTAGAGAGAGAGATCAGAAAACTTGTGTTTTGTGTGGTGGTTGTGTATTTAGTACTGCTCAGAGAGTGTTGAATGGGTCAATTCATGATGACGCTTGTTAGTTCACTGGAGATGCTTGTTTTGACAACGTGATTAATAATAATTTAATGCTCTGACCGGGACATCCAGTTAAATTTGTGTTTGGAATGGGTAGGGTGTTCGTAGGAGGGGATATGCTACTGCTTTATGGGCCAGATTTGAAATTAAATTAGTTAGTTATAGAGAAAGACAGTGATGATGTAAGAATCTTGCTTTTGATGGTGACAAATGGTTTTTTTTTTTCCTTGCCAGAGGAGTCCTTCGAAAGCTGGAACAACTACTTTTCTGCCCTTTCACAGACCCGGCTAAGGTTCAAGGACCGTCTCTTCAGCAGATCAGATGATGCCACTGAGACTGAAGAACTCAAGAAACATAGTGAGCATGACATGAAGCGTTGCCTCAACTGGTGGGACCTCATATGGTTCGGTTTTGGTGCAGTGATTGGAGCAGGAATCTTTGTGCTCACTGGTTTTGCTTATGGTTGTTTTCCTTGTCACACCTGCGTTCTCAAATCTACTCAATAACTTTATAAAAGAAGCAATATTTGAATGGCTTCCACAGGAGACAATGATGAGGCTGAACCTCAGAGAGGGTATTGGAGATGGAGCAAGCAAGATTTCTTGCCAGAGGAGTCCTTCCAAAGCTGGAACAACTACTTTTCTGCCCTTTCACAGACCCGGCTAAGGTTCAAGGACCGTCTCTTCAGCAGATCAGATGATGCCACTGAGACTGAAGAACTCAGGAAACATAGTGAGCATGACATGAAGCGTTGCCTCAACTGGTGGGACCTCATATGGTTCGGTTTTGGTGCAGTTATTGGAGCAGATCGGTATTGAAAAGCATGGACAAATTATAAAGGACTAAACCCTCAAGTCTGTTCTTAAAACAGTGTGTGGGTCGGACATTTTATGAGTATATATTGAATTGAGATTTTTTTTTAAAATATTTTTTCATACAATTTTGTCTCATAAAATTTAAAAGATTATAGATATGTTTAGTAAACTAGCTTATAAGTTAGCTAAAAATTTGTGTTATAAGTTAGAAGCTAAAAATAATAATAAAATTAATTGATTGAATTGAAAATATTTAATAAATTTAGTTAATAAAGTAATTAATAAATAGAAAAGAACATACTAAGTTGTTTGAGTTGAAAATATATTTTAAATAAATTAATGGGGATAAAAATAGAATCAATTAAATTCTGAAAATATGTAAATTAATTAATTAATTAAATCCCTGAAAATATTTATGTTGCATAATATAAGAATGTTCTGGAATGCAAAATGTAATTGATATCATAGTAATTTGAATTCACTTCTTTCTTCTTTCAAATGCATCAGTAGTTATTCAACCTGTGAAATGCACGGAATATTATTTATTATTAAATATTTAAAAATGAGGACAGTTGGAATGGACTCAAACTCAATTCTAAACACCAAAGATATTTGCTTATGGTTGTTTTCCTTGTCACACCTGCGTTCTCAAATCTACTCAATAACTTTATAAAAGAAGCAATATTTGAATGGCTTCCACAGGAGACAATGATGAGGCTGAACCTCAGAGAGGGTATTGGAGATGGAGCAAGCAAGATTTCTTGCCAGAGGAGTCCTTCCAAAGCTGGAACAACTACTTTTCTGCCCTTTCACAGACCCGGCTAAGGTTCAAGGACCGTCTCTTCAGCAGATCAGATGATGCCACTGAGACTGAAGAACTCAGGAAACATAGTGAGCATGACATGAAGCGTTGCCTCAACTGGTGGGACCTCATATGGTTCGGTTTTGGTGCAGTTATTGGAGCAGGAATCTTTGTGCTCACTGGTCAAGAGGCTCATGAGCATGCTGGATCAGCTATTGTCTTATCTTATGTTGCCTCAGGCTTCTCAGCAATGCTTTCTGTTTTCTGCTACACTGAGTTTGCTGTAGAAGTTCCATCAGCAGGAGGCTCATTTGCTTACCTCAGAATTGAATTAGGAGACTTTGTTGCTTTTATAACTGCTGCCAACATTATTCTCGATAGTGTTATTGGAAATGCAGCAGTGGCAAGGTCATGGACTTCTTACTTCACAACTTGATTATCCAAACTGTCTTGCAAACAAATAAGGAAATGTCCACTGGTCGCCAAAAGGATACGGCAACTTTCAGAGGATAAAGTAAGTAATCTTAGTCATTGATAAGAAAATCAATAGTCGATATGATATGCACATGCATAACAAATCATGAATGTGTTGGAATATCAACCCTTGATTTTCTCATCAAGGACTAACATTACCTGTTTTATCTTTACTCATTTCAGATGAGTCAAATCTATCATCAAACTACCTTTTGTGAGTTGGTGTATTTAACTAAATTTTTCAACATCAATGTTTGTAAAAGACATTTTTAAACATAGATCTATCTACACACTCATCTTGGTCAGTTTACTTGTATTTGTTCGTATATATATGTGCTTGCCTGTGTATATGTTGGTTTGTAATTCATAAACAAACACAACCATGCAGGTTACAGTTAGAGGGTCACAAGGTCATGCTGGAACTGTCCCAATGTCCATGCGCCAGGATCCTATGACTGCTGCTGCGGAACAAATTGTAGTCTTGGAAAAGCTCTGTAAACATCCTGAGGAATACCTCTCTTATGATGGTCATTGCACTGATTCAACAGTGAAATCACTGTCAAGCTCACTTGTGTGTACTGTTGGAGAGATATCTACATGGCCAAGTGCCAGTAATGTCATTCCAGGCCAGGCAAGCAATGAATTTCTAAAACGCTGACCCTGGAGATGTCAAAGTGGGCATTCTTCATCATTTCTAAGTTTTGGTAGTTGATTCCCGTGATGACAATATCTTGACTTGTTGTAGGTTACGTATACGGTTGATATACGAGCAATTGATGACCTCGGACGCGAAGCTGTTATCTATGATTTATCCAATCAAATCTATCAAATATGTGACAAGCGTTCAGTTTCCTGCATTATTGAACACAAGGTATGGTTGCTCTTGTTTTGGTTTCCTCAGTTGTTTTCTGAGTTTTGCTTACAGTGAATGACTTTGCGGTGTACTTGTGTTCATATCAGCATGATGCAGGTGCTGTGATGTGTGATTCTGAGTTGAGTTCACAACTCAAATCTGCAGCTTATTCTGCACTAAAGAAGATAGAGGGTGACATTCAGGATGATGTGCCAACATTAATGAGTGGAGCAGGGCATGATGCAATGGCAATATCTCACTTAACAAAGGTTAGACATCTTTGGTTTTCTTTATGCAGGTTTTGATATGTGATTTACCCTTCAGAATCTGACAATGAATGAGAATTTTGGACAGGTTGGAATGCTGTTTGTGCGTTGTCGTGGTGGCATAAGTCACTCTCCACAAGAACATGTGCTAGATAATGATGTTTGGACAGCTGGTTTAGCAACCTTATCATTTCTGGAAAACCTATGAGAAGAGGTGATAACTGTGTAAAGTAATAAATAGATGTTATAGCCTGTAATTATAGGTTAATTTATTGAGTTAATTCATGAGTTAACTCTTTCTTTAGTTGCTTGTGTCTTCTTATAGTTGTGTAATTGAATTTTTGGTTTTAGTTATCCTGATATCAGGAAACGGCCCAAAGTTGTTGTGCATGTTCTTTGCCATTGTCAGATTAAACCTTATGACTTATTTTATTTTTCAGTTTAATAGGTATATATTGTACGTGTAAAACTCATTTTAGGATATCATCCATGCTATGATAAAATTCAACAAACTTATCATACATGATAGTTTGTTATTGAATAACAATGTAAAATATCGGTACATGTCACCCTATGTTATTTATTTCCACAAATGCTTAGCTCTCAATATTAGAATAAGAAAAAGAAAAAAAAAAACCCAATACTTGCTGCTTTACGGATTAAAATTTTTTGCAATAATATTTTGCTATCTTTATAATTAAAAAAGATTCTCTTTTGAATGATAATGTTGTCGATTCATTTTAGTGAGTGGGTCTTTAATTAGAAAGAGACAAGAATGGACAAACATGTATTTGATTCCTTGCTTACAGAAACAGTTTGCGTATTTTAAGACTGTTGGGACGTAGAGTTGCGGCTGCAATGCATGGTGCTTAATCTTGATAAAAAAAAAATAAAAATTAGAAGATGACGTTATTCCCACATTGATATTAATTGATCCTATGTTTGAAACAGGTTTGGAAAAGTGGGATTATATATATATATATATTGATGAAAAGTTTAGATGAAGATAATAAAGATAGAATAATAATTAAATTCTTTGACGATTTTTAGCGGATTATAAAGTTTGAGTAAACATATATTATTTTTACATGAATAAAGAAAGAAGTATGAGTGGACATTAGCGGTCAAAGTTTCAAATGTAACTGTCAACATAAAGAAAGGAACATGAATGTAATCATATTCGGATTTGCAATTGCCAAAACCTAAAAGTAATTCGTATAAACTTTGGATATTCCCTCGTGTTGTTTAGGAACATGACACAGTTACAGTTATGTTTAATATGGTACTGTTATGATCTGAGAGTTGGATTAAACAAGATATGGTCAAAGGATTAACGGGAAGCATTGTACTTTGGTCTTGTCAATACTGTTATTAACTTTATCAAATTTCAAAATAATTAATATGAAAATATTAATTATATATATTATCAGTATTAATAACAATCCTATTTACACTCCAAGTCTTCAATGACTCCATTGTTAGGAAGAAAAAATAATAATGAAAAAGAATAACGTGTAGCAACACTGCCACCACTTTGAAAGCAAATTTTAGACATTAGTACAATTCAATATCTGGTTTTCAAGGTTTACACAACAACTAACTTGAAACTATGCACTTGAGGATAAAATACATTACAATCTCACAAATAATATATATATATATATATATATATATATAACACAACTGAAGAAAAGTACAGGAAAGTAGAGGCGTAGTATACAACCTTCTAAGGTTCACTCTTCCACTATTATATAGTGCACAAACATTCAATCTGTTGACAAAGGTTTAAGAAACTCTTATAAGATAAAACTAGCTAGCATGCAATATTATGTGTTTTCGATGATGTTATTTAATCAAGATCAGAATTTTATTTTAGCAACATGTATGATAAAAAAAATCATTAAATATTTATGTGTATTACTAAGATAAAATTTTAATTCTGATTGAAGATCAATAATACATGTAATATTACGATTAAGTTTTGTCCAAATTTATAACACTAATGACAATAAACATGTTAAAGGTAATAAAATAATTATTATTTAAAAAAAAAAAGTAGATGTGCTATAACATCACTATGTAAGGAGGGATCTTAACTAGATTAGCACCTCACCTCATATTAGAGGTGTCAAAGTGAGCTAACCTGATTCATACATGTTGGCTCACCACACCACAGGTTGATACTTTAAACGAGTCAATCCAATCTGGCTCACTTCCTAGTAAATCAGAAAAATTATAATCCAATTCGACCCACCACGGATTGATGTATTAGGTGGGTTGACTCACCAAATTTTTTTAAAATTAAAAAATTAAAAAATTAATTACGCGTTTCTATTTTTAATAAATAAAATAAATAGTTATACATTTTTATATATAGAAATCAAGTCTATCATTGATTCAAATGCAAATACATAAAAAAATATCAATCAAAATTTCAAATAAAAATTACATAAAACACACTCACACACACAGACACACAGACACAGACACACACACAGACACAGACACACAGACACAGACAGACACACAGACACACACACAGACACAGACACACAGACACATAGACACAGACACACAGACACACAGACAGACACATGCAAATACATAAACAGACACAGACACACACACAGACACAGACACACAGACACATAGACACAGACACACAGACACACAGACAGACACAGACACACAGACACACAGACACACAGACACGCACACACACAGACACAGACACACAAACACACAGACATAGACACACACACACACACACATACCCGCACGCACGCACGCACGCACGCGCGCACACACACACAGACACAGATATATATTATTTTAATAATGGATTAAATAGACCAACTTGACGCACTTAGGCTCGAACCCATTTAATTCACGAGTTAGACCAACTTGACGCACTTAGGCTCGAACCCATTTAATTCACGGGTTAAGTGAGATGGGTTGAAATTTAGCTAAATTGTTATAATTTTTTTTTCTAACCCAATCCGACTCAAACCTATGATGAGTTAGGTTGATTCATCAAATTTAGCTCATTTTGACATCTCTATCCCACATCAACCATATACAACACATCAAGAGAAATATTATTAAAAATAAAAAGAAATATAAAGTGGGAATCAAACCAAACTCTTAGTGAAAATGTTGTTCCACCACCTTAGGGTCCACACTTACTTAGCTCGACCAAATATTAATTTTTAGGCTTAAATATATTTTTAGTCCCTCAAATTTCACTACAAGAAAAATGTTAATTTTCGACGGAAAAGGGTAAATTTTCGACGAATTTTTTTTCGACGGATTTTCGACGGATTTAAATCTGTCGAAAAAAGTGGCATTGGAAAAAAAAAATCCGTCGGAAATAATTTCAATGGGAATTTCAGCTTACTGGGGACTGAGGCCTAATGGCTGGTTTGGATACACTGTGACTGTTCCTGTTTGGTTCTTGGCAACTCTAGGGATGTCACTGTTTTTGACTCAGCAAAGGGTGCCAAGAGTTTGGGGCGTTCCACTTGTCCCATGGTTGCCATCTTTGTCAATTGCTACAAATGTCTTCCTCATGGGGTCTTTGGAATATGAAGCCTTCATAAGATTTGGAGTGTGCACTGTCATAATGCTTATCTATTACTTTTTCTTTGGCCTTCATGCAACTTATGATATGGCTCGCCAACAAGAAAAGCTGCAATCAAAAGTTGACCAAACAGAGAGCATCAAGAACGCAGAGCCTTAGATAAGTGTACTCCCATCTGCTTGTACTTTGAATCAGATCCTTCCACAATCCAGTTCCACAAGTTACATGAAGTTCTACATGCTAGTAACCCTTGTTATAAGAAAAAAAAAAAAAAGCTGAATCAATCCAAACCAAATTGATTGATTTGGTTTTAATGATGAAGTTAATTGAATTAATCCGGATGAACACCTATATCAAATTATGCATCTGGTACACTTATAGGCCTAAGTTCATGTGCTGTTAATTAAAATAATGATGAATCTTGGAATCACCTTAGTCGGCATAATGTGACAACTTCAATTGTTTTTCCAAACGCGGTGGCGAGAATCCCAACTTGGCTCTAGTATGCCCACTCTTCCACACTCTCTACTTCCTCTTCTAATATCAATTATTCTTTAATCAACTTTGAATTTTTTTTAAACAAAAAAATTTAAAAATTATTTTAATATTTTATATAATTTAATTAATATTTATTATAATTATATAAAAATTAAATTTCAATCTTTTAAAATAAATTATTAACAAACAAAATTAACAAATATACAAATGTAAAAATTATTAATATATTTAAAAATATCTATTTATTATAATTTTATAAAGTTCTTTTCGAAATAGTAGATTTTGTGTTCTAGAAAGTACTTTTTAAAAGTATGTAAGAAATACAAATTTGAAAAATACTTTTTCGAAACACTAACTTTACTATTTTGAAAAATATTCAGGAATAATGAAATTACTATTCTAAAATGTTTTTTTTTTCATAACACTAAATTTAATGTTAAGATTTTTTGAAGTGTGAAAGTGAAGGAATTGTTGGAAGAAAAAACGCACATCTAACTTGTCTACAACGTTGTTAATTATGCACCAGTTATAAGGTTCGGGTGCATATGAAAAGTGAAAGAGGTGAGAGAGTGATGGGGTTATTTTTTATGGTATTTGTTTGAGGGGATATTTTATAAGAGTTATTTTTATCAGAGGAGCATAATATAATTTTATTCACGAGTCTCTATTTATAGAGAAAATTTGTTATACAAAATCAAATATTGATATTATCCTATTCTAAAATAAGGAAATAAATCTTAAAATAGTCAGAACATATTAAATCTAAATATTTGAAATATAAATAAAATATTCTTATAAAAAACTAACTTAATCTCCTAAAGATATTTAGGCATATTCTTCCTTTAGATAATCCCAAATTACTTTTGTCGATTTGAGAGTCATAATCCTGGTGATATAAAGTTATTGAGCGATGTAGTACTTAGTAAAAGTTACATCGGTATAATTAAACCCCCTTATATATATAGAAACACATACAAAACAAAACCTCAAACATATATATCACAATTAACTCAACAATGCACTCAATTTCAACATGTAACCAATATTTAGCAAAGAATCAATGATTATGATAAACAATACAAAAACCCCATTTGAACTTGTTTTCCTCTTCGAATTCATCAACACAACCACACATAATGTGATTCCACACTGCACACAACTCTAAAATGGTTTTCCAACCTTCAATTTGTACATTACACATAAAATTTTCTAACTTCTCTTACCTCAGGTTTCTCGGGTCTGAGGTAGAATAAAAAGGAAGATCAACGCTCTACAATGGAATCAACGGCCTGATTCTAACTTTTCACTACCTGAATCACAAACAACACAACTTATAAAAAGATTGGAAGAAGAAGAGAAGAAGATTGGGAGAAAAAGAATTCATGGACCAAAAATCTTCTTTCTAGAATTCTCTCTCTAGACTTTTGAAGGAAATAAGTTTATGAGGCTTTGTTCAAACATAAACCTTATATATTTTTTCCTTTGGGGTCAAACTAGATTTCTACTTAAGGAACTCCTTCTAAACACCACTGAAACTCCTAAGGGATCTTCACACTCCCGAACCTCTCAAATTGATTAACAACTCACTTAACAATTATAAAATAATTAGGAGTAATATAACAATATCACAACTTATAATGTTACAATCTTAAAATACTAATAACTTACATTAATATATTTTAAAAGTAACATTTGAATAAAGATGTTCATATAAACAATAACTTTTAATTGGAGGCATTTGGTATATTGCAAATTTTTCATATGTTAGAATCATAATTCTTGGTAAGGATGACAGAACGGGTCAACATAAACTGTTTAAGCTTGCCTTTCATTAGCCCCTAAAAAATGGGTCAGGGTCAGGCTGGCCCACTAAGTGAAAACAGGCTATACGTCGTGGCTTGTCCCGCCTAAGGTAGGTTGGTGGGCCAGATTGCCAAAAAAAAAAGAAGGAAAAAATGCATATTATTTTGGGTACATAATCCAACATATTTCTTTCTTAATATCTAAATGATTCACATGAATTAATGTCTGTAAATAATAAAATAAAATATTAAATTATAATTGATTTTGTTTGATTTGCAATATAACAAATTTCAAATTTGCTACATAATAAAATAGATGTGTAATTATAATAATAATAATTCTTCTAACATATTTGTTACACCAAAAATTTAAATTACATATAATAAAATAAATCAAATAATTTAAACTTAAAGTTAAAAATAAAAAAATATAGGCAAGCCAACATGTCAACTTGCTCGATCCACTATTTAGCTAACCAAGGTAGAGGTTTATGTAGTGTGTGTTAAGCGAGTTGGCAGGCTTAGTGGGTTAATGAGTCAACCCACAGATTAAGACTTGTTTTACCATCCTTAATCCCTAGTAGAATGAAATAATTTGTCTCGCAAATCTTGTCCCACTCCTTGTTCCTCTAATAAAATATTGTCACATCAATTAAAAGAGTCATATAGTATTCTGATTTTTTTTTCCAAATATTTTTCACTTCACACACCTTCTTCCCCATGTTCTGCCCCTTTTTAACAGGCAGTGGGTGTGCATTCGACTCTAGGAGGATGATAGTGAGATTTCAGCGGCGTCGATAATGGCGAAGGTTTTTTGGCTAGAGGGTTTGTTCGTCCTGCTCAGCTCGAGGCTTCTATTTTAGGTACCACCCAAGGGAAGGGTAGTTGTTCGGAAACATACAAGCCAATGGACAATGGTGGAGCCATTAATTCCTTAAGCAATTTTTGGATGCATTTACTTCTTAATTAATAACCTTTAATTTAAGGAAAAGAAATTCATCTCCCCTCTAATTAAGTCATTGAATTGAAAGAGAAGCAATTTGGTTAGTCAGCATCTCTACAAGTAACTCTATTAAAATTTAAATAATTTATAAAATAAGTCAGAACTAATTTGATAGTAATGTAGTACTGGAAGTTGCTTATAAATAATTCTCATTGCAAATGCTCTAAAACAAGTGAATGATGAAAATGGCATAGATTTAGTGGGTGTTTGCTTTTCATTTTGAAACGCAATTCTTTCGTCTCTCTCCACGTTACGTAGAAACAGCTATTCATTGTTTCAGGTTGAATGTGAAAAACCACGTTAAAACGCGGATGCAGACGCACGGTTAAGAGAAATGATTAAATGAAAAGGTGATTTGGCAATGTCCAAGCAGAGGGTCCCACGTGATGGAGAACACGTGTGGGTGCATGAGAGAGGGTTGTTGAGTGGAGGCCATGGTTTTGGTTTTGGCTCTTAGCAAACGGTATACCGCACGCAGGACAACGCGACCACGGTTTTATTTTCTCGTACCGTCACCTTTGCAATTTTTGCATTTTCATCCTTCTTCCTTCTGCTATTTACGTTTACGCTCTTTTTTATATCTTTGTAAGCTAATTTTTAAAACTTGTTATCAAAATAAAACTGTTTTTGAAAACCATTTTTCACACCTGATTAAAAAGAGGGCCACTCACGCCAATTGTAGCTACTGCGAGGAGTAGAAACGAAATAGGTAGGAGATAAAATACCATGAAAAGAAATCCAAAATGGTTTTTTCTACATTAAATTTTCAAGTTGTTTTGTAAAAAAATTATAATTCTTTTACAAATATTTTACAAATTTCCCTTAAGATACACTTATTTAATATGGATAAAAATAAATACTTTACCATTTAATTATAAATTCATTATTATATAAAATAAATCTATTGACTTTTACGATAAATCTTATCAATCATTTGAAAAACATTTTTTTATAAATAAAACATTTTATAAATTACTTAATTGTATAAAAACTTTTCAGTAATCATTAAACTCATTTAGTATTAATTATGAATATAAGATAAGATATATAATTATTTATACATATAATTAAACAAATTTGATTTTAATTAAAAAAATACATTTAGTATTAATTATAAATAAAACGATACTATTTTTTTTTTGGTACAGAAAGGTTTACTGTTTAACGTTGCCACTCATTGCACAAAGAAGCCATGGAGCGAAAAAAGGGGAGAAAAAGAATAAAGAGAAATTTTATTAAATAGTAAATCTGGGTTTTGATGATTACCATTTATGCATACATACATAAGGGAACAACATCACCGGCCAAAGCTTCTCTCTCTTCTTTTTCCCATCTATAAAATTGAAAAATTCCATGGAAATGCACACTCTGTTTCTCACGACGATGGTGTAGCTCAAGCATCTTCCACAGCATTTGTGATTTCGACATTTTCAGTTTTAAGAGCCTGTGGTAAGAACTTTATTCGTTTCCGTCTCTGATCAATAGAATTTCATATTTTTAATATGCTCTTTTGAATGGGATAATGATAAAAATATAATCTTTTCTGGGATATGTTTTGTGGGTGTTGACCTAACCACTCTATAGTTGTGCATGTATGTGTGTTTTATGGGATTCTTTTTGTTTTTTGTTTTGTTTTTATTTATTTATTTAATGATGTGTGTCGGATGAATCGATATTGTCTATTTTATTGCCCTGTTATGATTTGTTTTGAATCTCACGTCTTATCGGGCATTTTCGCAAATGTAATAGCTGTGAGCACTCATTTCTTGTTATGACCTCTGAGATGGTTTAGCCACATTGTTTACCCCATTTTCAATTTGACTCAATCCCATTTGTGATTTTACTTTTATTTTTGCCCGCCATGCCTGGAATTAGAAACTAGAATGTGTGTTTTATTGTATCCATGGGTTTAGATTCAAAAGTGAACATCCTTGTGGGGGGTTGATTTCAGATTAATGATTGTGATTTGTGGTGATGATAGATGTTAGAAAATATGATACAGCTTGGAATTAGTTGCTCCTGCTATTCCTCTAGATACTTATTGTTGGTAATTGGTAATTTCTGTGGCAATGTTGTATATGCATTGCTGCTTTTTTTTACCTTTACCTTATGGATCTTAGGAAATTAAACGGTCTGTTGGGAAGGAACTAATCCTGGTCTGTGTGAGATATTCTTCACGTGCTTAGGCTAAATAATGATTAATCTTTTGATGGAATGATTGTGAACTGTAACATGAGAGTTTTAGCAGACAATGTGGTTTTGCGAAGCCGTGTAAGATTATCTTCATCATGGGAGTTGTGTGTGTCAAAATGAGACTGCGCTTAGATGGCCAACCATAAAAAAATTCATAGATGACATTTGTCAAATAATTTCTTGAAATGATCATCATTCATCACAATGAACTAGTTAACTTCCTAAAAGTCATGTTTGATTACCATTTTTTTCAGAAGTCTAATGTATTACTACCATTGAGTGTAAAATTATGACCAAATGTATGTCACTGCAAGAAATGTCTCATCTGAATATCTTGTTTAGGTCGGTACTTGTGATGGTTGCTTGACAACTGAACATTGAAGCAATATGATGTTATCCAAGAGTAAATTCATTTCTTTGTTATTTTTTTTACCACATTAACAAATTATTGGTTGTCTTGAATCTTTTCCACCAACAAAAAGGTTTCAATTCAAGATCTTTTTAACATCCCTGATTCTATTAGTTCCTCTTTCATTCTGAACTATGTTAAAGCTCTGGTTTAGTGATTTTGTTTTATTTTCTTACTATGTATGATAGTCTTTGTAGGAGATATGGAAATAATTTCATATGCCTTCATAAACACAGTACTTTCAAGGATAGTATGGTGTAACTTTGAAACTTATTGTTTATTTAAAATGCTCAGAATAATTTAAATTGTTTTTTCCTTTCTGAGCAAGTGCACTTGTGTCGGTATGTGCATTTATATAATCACTTGTAGCATATTGAATACATTTCTTTATGTTTTCTGGTTTGCAATGTACATATCCATGACTGGTCATATTTAATATCAGACCCAGGTTTAATAGATCCCAAGTTTAATAGTTATTTAAAAATTTCTATTTTGCGCTATAATAGTACCAATGTTACCCCTTGCTTTTGTCCCCTCCCTTTTACATACAGCCAAACAGTTTATAAAGCCTTATCATCATGTAAGCTCTTTCATAAGTGAAATTTATTTTCAATATAACTAGCTAATTTTGGAATCACATTTGCAGGTTTTAATATCAAACTGAAGGAGTTCAATACTCTACCTTTTAGTTGGTTCTGTGAAATTTGTGTTGGTATTGCTACATCAGAAATTCTTCCAAACAGTCACCTATCCAACCATGACATTATTGGCCAAACTACGCTGTGTCACTATAGATGTTACCGGTACCCTAATGGCTTACAAAGGGGAGCTTGGTGACTATTATTGCATGGCAGCCAAAGCTGCAGGCCAACCATGCCCAGACTACAAACGTATGCATGAGGGATTTAAGCTTGCATATAAGGAAATGGCAAAGAAGTATCCGTGTTTTGGGTATGCAGCCAAAATGCCAAACATTGTGTGGTGGAAAACCTGTGTGCGAGATTCTTTTGTCAGGGTAAGATATCTGTAAAGTCATTGCTATGGTTGTGTAATTTATTATTACATGTCAGGATAAGCTTTTGATATTTACATAGATTTGTCTTCTGCAACGTTGAATGCACTGTACTAACAAAGGTTTAATTCCCATTTCCCACCATTATTGATGTGTTCAACTGCATTATATGCTATCAAAATTGGGTATTGAATTACAAATTCATGATATTTGTACTCCCCCACCTGTGAAAATTCATGGAGAAATTTTATTTTTCTGGCAGGCTGGATATGAATATGATGAGGAAACATTTGAGAAAATCTTCAGACGCATATATTCGTCCTTTGGTTCATCTGCTCCATATACTGTCTTTCCAGACTCCCAGCAATTTCTCAGATGGCTACGTGGACAGGGTGTCAAAGTTGGTATTGTGAGCAATGCCGAATACCGATATCAAGATGTGATTCTTCCAGCTTTGGGTTTGAACGAGGTAAATTTCCTCTGTTTTTCTAAAAGTTTGCTATATGCCTATACTAGACTTATAAATGACTTTGAAAGATAAATTAACATTCGGTATTGTTTCAAAGACCACTTAAATACTTAATCATGAAGTGACATAATATCACATTCTTAAACATTTGTGAGTGAACTTGTTGGAAATCTCAATAGGGAATGGTGCACTTCCTTTTTGAAACACGATGTAGTTAAGGATTCATGATCTATGAATTTCAATTAAGATTTGAAGAAAATTATGTTGAACTTAGTTTAGTCTAATCATTCTTAACCATTACTAGTGTTCTTGTTCTTCTTTACTACACCTATATTAAGCAAGACTCTACACTTGCCCCAAATACAAGAATGTCTGATTGTTATGACGTCTGATGATGCAGGGATCTGAGTGGGACTTTGGTGTGTTTTCTGGTCTTGAAGGCGTTGAGAAACCAGACCCGAAAATTTATAAGATCGCACTTGAGAGGGCTGGAAATATTCCACCTGAAGAAACTCTGCATATCGGGGATAGCATACGCAAAGATTATGAGCCAGCTAGGAGCATAGGGATGCATGCACTGTTGTTGGATAGATTTAAGACACCAGAAGCTGAGGAATGGAGGAAATCTGGGGCAGTTGTTCTTCCTGATTTAGTGGCTGCACAAGAATGGCTTTCTTCAGATGCCTCAAATTTCTAGAGGCACTGACTTAGCTCAACTAGTATTATATGTATCATTTCCACCCCTCAAATGATTTTACTGTGGCATTTGACTTTCCACCTTTGCATGTGGCTGAATATTTGTTTTAGAGCCATACCTGAGAATATGATGGCCAATAGTTAAATGCTGATAGCTCAAACGTAATGCAATACAAATATATCCAAATGTTACTTTCTGTTCCATATGGTTCTGTGGTTTACCCTGTCACTTGATTTTTTTATGTATATTTTTGTTAGTTGCTGAAGAGATCAAGCATAGTGTAGGAGATGGGTGGCAACTAGCTCAAAATATTTTTCTGTTAAAAGAAATTTTCTATATTTATTTGTAAGGAATAACAAGTGGTTTTTAAGATGTACATGGAAGTCACTGATATCATGAACCGCAGGAAGGATAAACTCTACGGTTATTGGATCAATGCTTTCAATTTAAGGATGGAATGTTTTTAGTAACTAGGATAGATTCTTGGCGATGGATTTGAATAATTTGCGTGAGATTAATGGGTTGAAATTTCACCGTCATAAACTCATTATTTAAAAAGTGACAATGTTATATTTTGGGCCTGATTTTGGGGAATGGGGTCAATTTCTATTTTGAACTAAGGTTTCTTTCTTGTGCAGAACTATGGACCCTTCTATTTTGGCTAACTTTTTTTTTTTCTTTCTATTTTGGCCAACTCCCCAATCTTTTTTTTTTTTTTTTAATAGCTTCACCTCCTTTTTCCACTTTCCCCCTTCTCTCTCACACTTGATACTCTCTTCCGAGGACAAAATGAATTAAAATATACGAACTTAAGTATGTTGTTATTATTTCAGTTTCATGTAGATCGTTAGGAATACCGTGTTTTAGAGCATGTTTGGACAAGTTTAATCATTCAAATTGATGCATTTAATGGTGATGTTCATATTTTCACATTAAATGCGATATTGAAGCATTTGCTAACATATAACATATTTACTTCTAAAATCATTCTTATTAATTAGTAATTGGTATATAAAACATGAGTAATCTTTTAAGAGTTAATTACCTATACACCGTTAGTGTTAAGTTTTTTTACACTGACAACCAATTATATCTTTTAATTGTGTCATGCCACTGTTAAAAATAAATGTGTTTATAGTGACATGACACAATTAAAAGATATAATTAGTTGCCCGTGTAAAAAAACTTTATACTGACAGTGTATAGGTGATTAACTCATCTTTTAATATAATTTATTTGAATGAATGAATATTTCATGAATTATTTATATTCATATTCATTTATTATTTATTTTTAATTATTTATATTTATACCAACTCATTTTTAAATATTTAATAATAAATAATATTCCGTGCATTTCACAGGTTGAATAACTACTGATGCATTTGAAAGAAGAAAGAAGTGAATTCAAATTACTATGATATCAATTACATTTTGCATTCCAGAACATTCTTATATTATGCAACATAAATATTTTCAGGGATTTAATTAATTAATTAATTTACATATTTTCAGAATTTAATTGATTCTATTTTTATCCCCATTAATTTATTTAAAATATATTTTCAACTCAAACAACTTAGTATGTTCTTTTCTATTTATTAATTACTTTATTAACTAAATTTATTAAATATTTTCAATTCAATCAATTAATTTTATTATTATTTTTAGCTTCTAACTTATAACACAAATTTTTAGCTAACTTATAAGCTAGTTTACTAAACATATCTATAATCTTTTAAATTTTATGAGACAAAATTGTATGAAAAAATATTTTAAAAAAAAATCTCAATTCAATATATACTCATAAAATGTCCGACCCACACACTGTTTTAAGAACAGACTTGAGGGTTTAGTCCTTTATAATTTGTCCATGCTTTTCAATAAACCACAAAACATCCAACATCATATTTTGATGCAAGCCTCTTTCATGTGAAATATTATAGATCTTTATTAAACAAAATGAATCTAATGCATACAACAATTTAAGTGAACAAATACTAAACTTCATTTTGCTTGGATGAGGAAAATATCACGAAGATACACTCATCTGTCTGATGGGTTATTGGAGATTTGGAGGATGATTTGACTTTTGATTTTGCTTGATCTCCTGAAGATATCATTTTCTTGTTCAACTGCGATGTATGCGCCAATTCTTTTCTTGAGGCTAAGGCTTGCACTTCAAAGTTCAAAGTAAGAAAAATATCTTCAACACCCACTTGAATATGCATATCCTCACTCGCATAAATATAGTGAATTTTTCTTCTTCCACCACGTCTTTCTCATATACATGACCTAAAATTTAGTCCTGACTACATAATTAAGGAATTTAACTATTTACTAACTGTACCAAACCTTATTAGTAGTCACATTGTGCTATGATCATAGAATAAAGGCTCGTGTGAGAAATTTGTGGGAGGACCTTACGGCATTTCCAATGGAAGTAACTCATTTGAGTTGCTTCATGCATTGAAAAATGAAAAAAGTGGTCCCTAGTGTGCCATATCAGCATTAAGCTACTCAAACACAAATTTACTTCAATGGTAAGAAACTTTAAGAAATTCAATTTTTAGAATTTTTTTCTAATCATTTATGAACCAAATTTAAATTTTTATTAAAAAGGATAATTACGCTACAATAAGAAAATAAATTATGAAAAAAAATACACAATAAGTAGATATTAAAAATAAAATAAAGCAATAATAAATACATAAATATTATACGAAATTAATTTTCATCATTATTATTTCTGAAACATTTCCAAATATGTTCAATAAGATCTGCTTAAATCTTGGGGCCAGCTATCCCACCCTTTGAGGTGCCTCCAACGTAGCGAGGAGATTAGCCACTGCTGTCGGCGGTAGATACTCCAGGAACGAACCTAAAAAAAAAATCTGGTAAGGAACGGTTGCTTGAGGAAGCAACTCTGTCTCTTCTTCAAGCAACTCATCTCTTCCTCAAGCAACTCATGTTACCACGTCAGAGTCTTTTAATGGCAAGAAACTGGGATTCAAGTTGCTTCATAGGACAAGCAACTCCTGTTAGAGTTGCTCTTAGATGTGTAGATATGAGAAATTAAATGCCACATTTCATTCTTCAAACTACAATTAAAGGTGACTGTATTTCAATTATATCACCATTTTCATTGAGACGATATTTGTAATTAAGATCCCTTATCCGTTATTGTAGACTTGAAGCCATTCATGGTCATGGCATGCCAATTCAATAATTCATAGAAACGTCACGTCATTATCTTGTTTTGATAAATATCTCTTGTGAGAAACTAGAATGCAACGAATACTATTCATACAAGGAAAATTTGGTATTTGAACATTAACTGATTGTTGCTGAATACCATGAGTCACGCAGAATATTCTTCGACACACTGATAGCCCAACCCATGAGTCAGAAATTGAATTGGATTTGCAAACTTGATTTTGAGTAAATTTGTTTTTGTAAAATTAATTATAATTAAATTTGAATTTGAAATGAAGCAATTATGTCTAACACCTCTTATTTCAAAATAATTTCATAATAAAATTCAAAAGCTACAATATCTTGAGTTATAATGAGATGTGCTTAACTGATACAATTTCTTGTTCTACATTGTAGAGATAGAGATATTTCAAAAGACTTTAGTCCTACATTGCTTAAAAATACATGTTTATATACTAGCGCATTTTAAAGAGACAAGTAATGGAACATGGACTGACACCACAAGAGACAAGTAATGGAACATGGGCTCACACCCACAAGGATGGGTTTCGTGAACCTACTTCAGCCAGTTTCGACAACATTTACGAGTCCAGTTTTACTCGAACAATAATTAGATGACACAACAAAATTGATACCATGATGGTGGACCTGCCAGAGATGGGGTATCACACTATCAGTTATCAACTATGATGGTGTTGACTTGAGCAACCTAACAAGTAAGTTCCATGCTAAAAGCCACAGCACAGGGATTGAAGACTGAATGATAAGAATTTTCAAATTAGATGGCCACAACCACAAGTGGGCATCACTTACATTGTCAGCATCTACTGTACTCTCATTGACCTTTGGCTTTGCATCTAGTCTTCGTTAATGCACTGTTAATTTCAAAATAAATCACAGCTAGTCCTTAATTGTGACAAAAATTGCCAGAAATCATGGAAACTTTAGTAATCATAATGTGAAAACTTCGATTGTTTTTCCAAAGACATGCGTGTCGTGACTACTAATTTGATAGCGTCCTCTTATACATATATATCATGTAATGATGTCATTCTATTGAATCACAAGTTGAAGAGGAGAGAAAATTCCACACCAACTGACAAAATAATTAAAGTCACTTGGAATGACTCAATTCTATCCTACAAAGATATCTGCTTGAGCTTATTTTCCTCCTCACACCTCCATTCTCAATTCGGTACTCAATAGCCTCATAAAAGAAGCAATATTTGAATGGCTTCAACAAGAGACAATGTTGAGGCTGAACCTCAAAGAAGCTATTGGAGATGGAGCAAGAAAGATTTCTTGCCAGAGGAGTCCTTCGAAAGCTGGAACAACTACTTTTCTGCCCTTTCACAGACCCGGCTAAGGTTCAAGGACCGTCTCTTCAGCAGATCAGATGATGCCACTGAGACTGAAGAACTCAGGAAACATAGTGAGCATGACATGAAGCGTTGCCTCAACTGGTGGGACCTCATATGGTTCGGTTTTGGTGCAGTGATTGGAGCAGGAATCTTTGTGCTCACTGGTCAAGAGGCTCATGAGCATGCTGGATCAGCTATTGTCTTATCCTATGTTGCCTCAGGCTTCTCAGCAATGCTTTCTGTTTTCTGCTACACTGAGTTTGCTGTAGAAGTTCCATCAGCAGGAGGCTCATTTGCTTACCTCAGAATTGAATTAGGAGACTTTGTTGCTTTTATAACTGCTGCCAACATTATTCTCGATAGTGTTATTGGAAATGCAGCAGTGGCAAGGTCATGGACTTCTTACTTCACAACCCTTTTGAACCGTCCCAAGGATTCATTGCGCATTAGAACAAATCTCACAGAGGGGTACAACTTGCTGGACCCTATAGCCTCTGGGGTTCTGGTAATTGCTGCAGTAATCACAATGACAAGCACAAAGAAAACCTCATATCTCAATTGGATAGCATCTGCCATCAACACTGCTGTTATCATTTTTGTGATTGTTGCAGGGTTTGCTCATGCTGACACTTCAAATTTGACACCCTTTTTACCTTATGGGGCCAAGGGGGTGTTTCAGGCTGCAGCAATTCTTTACTTTGCATATGGAGTGTTTGACAGCATTGCAACCTTGGCTAAAGAAACCAAGAACCCATCAAGGGACATACCAATAGGTTTGGTTGGGTCAATGTCCATGATCACAGTGATTTATTGCTTGATGGCACTCTCACTAAGCATGATGCAGAAATACACAGACATAGACACTGGTGCTGCTTTCTCAGTTGCATTTCAGAAAGTGGGAATGAAGTGGGCACAGTATGTTGTAGCTTTTGGTGCACTGAAGGGAATGACCACAGTGCTTCTTGTGGCCACATTGTCACAGGGTCGTTACATCACTCACATTGCACGCTGCCACATGATCCCACCATGGTTTGCTCTTGTGCACCCTAAGACTGGAACCCCGATAAATGCTACAATCTTGATCACCACCTTAGCTTCCATCATAGCCTTTTTCACCGGTTTGGATGTGTTGTCAAGCTTGATATCTGTGAGCACACTCTTTGTGTTCATGATGATTTCAATTGCCCTTTTGGTGAGGAGGTACTATGTGAGAGGGGTCACACCAAGGGAGAATCTGTTAAAGCTAATAATCTTCTTGGTGCTCATTGTTGCTTCCTCAATGGGAATTTCAGCTTACTGGGGACTGAGGCCTAATGGCTGGTTTGGATACACTGTGACTGTTCCTGTTTGGTTCTTGGCAACTCTAGGGATGTCACTGTTTTTGACTCAGCAAAGGGTGCCAAGAGTTTGGGGCGTTCCACTTGTCCCATGGTTTCCATCTTTGTCAATTGCAACAAATGTATTCCTCATGGGGTCTTTGGAATATGAAGCCTTCATAAGATTTGGAGTGTGCACTGTCATAATGCTTATATATTACTTTTTCTTTGGTCTTCATGCCACTTATGATATGGCTCACCAACAAAAAAACGTTGCAATCCAAAGTTGATCACACAGAGTCAGAGACCATTTAGAATGAAGGTCCTTAGTTAAGTGTACTTCATCTGTTTGTATTTTGAATCATATTTCCCTCCCGCAATTAAAAATATTTGAAGTGTCCATGCTGTATTTTGCTTTGATACGTATCTGGCATAGTTAAGAGATGAAATGATCCTATTTAAAAGTGTCCATGATTCTTAGTTTACATCAAAATACCCATGTCCCGCTAGTCGTTAGTAAGTAACTGAACTGAATAATAAAATGGTAAAGGTTCCTTTTATTAAGTATCAATATATAAATAAAGGGACTCTCGTTCGATTAGTTGAGCAACTGCAGTGCTGTTAGGGCCGATTTAAAGGTAGGCCAACAAAGCCCTTGTATTAGTTTTTTTTTTTTTTTTTTTTTTCAATTTTTTTTTCATGTTTATATACTTTTTTTTCATAATTTAAAAGTCACTTTTTTTTTTCGTTTTTAAAAATTTATTAAGTTCTATTTTTAAAAGATAAAAAATATAAATAACTTTTTCAAAATTTATCTAAATTATTTTTATTTTTTTTATCATGAGACATTATTATTAATTTTAAAAAAAATCTCAGTTTAAGATTTACTTTAAATCTAATAATATGTTAGCTTGATCTTAATATGTGATGGACAAGTTATATATATATATATATATATATATATATATAAAAGAGTCAGAATTTGTTGACATAACAAGTTTAAAATTTTATTTTAAATCTTATATTTTTAATAATTCTTTGTATAATACATATTTAATTGATCTAACTTGAGAATAGTAAATTATAACCATATATTATAGATAAAAATAATTAATGGTTAAGATTAAAAATCAATCACAAATACTCCTTCACAAGATTTTTACTATTATTTCTTCACAATTATTAAGACCACCGTCACCTATCGCTGTAATCGCCACCATCACCACCACCACTATCACTGTCATTGTTAGCATTATTGTTGCTACCACCATTGTTGTTGGTGATGACAATGGTGGTGGTAGAGAATAGTGGTGGTAATGACAATGTCACTACCACTGTCACTATTATTATCGTCGTCTCATTAAATTCTAATAATTCATATTCTATATCAATTTTTAATGATCTAATGATTCAATTAAAAGTTTTTAATGCATAGATAAAATCTACAAATTTTTTAAAAAATTAAAAATTATTTGGTAGTTCATTTCATTCATTCAAATTGATGGATAATCATAAAAATATTTTATATATAGATTTAAATTTATATAACAAAGTATCATGTGTTTTTTAATTTTTTAAATAACTTATAAACTTGATCTATACATTAAGAATTTTTAATTCAATAATTAGATAGTTAGAATTTGATGTAGAACATGAATTATTGAGTGAAGTTTACATTAGACTTGTCAAATTGGTTCTTGGCCCTAGAACTCTTATATCTTGATGTTGGAACGCTCATCACTAGGTCAAAAATTATAGTTGTTGTTCAGAGTGTAACTCTTTCTACTTGATCATAGCAATCAAAGCATCACGTGTCAACCGTGACATGACCCATCTAGGCTTTTGTCACGAGATAATTAATGTCACTTGACAAACAATCTCCCCCTTAGCAATGACTCTCATTGAGAATCGAGCATGCGACCTTGACTATGACACCAACTATTAGATTGAATACTTATCACTAAGTTAAAAGTTATAGTTATTAGTTAGGATGCAATTCTTTCTACTTAACCATAGTAGTTCAAGCATCATGTGTCGACTGTGATTGACATACCTAAGCCTCTACCACAAGACAATCGATGTCACTCAGCAAACACTTGACCTACTCAATCTAGGGCTTTTCAACCCTTAAACCCCTTAGCCCTTACAAATAACCGGGTTAGGCTAAGGCTAAAGGTGGGTAAGCCCACATAAAATGTCAATATGCTTTCTCTAAGTTTAATTAGGATTTACGAATTGACAATGACCCATATTGGCAACATTTTTTTTAAGAATCCTAATTTTTTTTTCCTCAAATTGACTCGATTGTTCAAACCTTTGTTTAATTTCCTAATCCTCAATGTTTCTCCTTCTCAATCATCCAATAAATCTAACGTGGCTTAGTCATATGCAAAAGGATAAGCCTAAGAAATTGAAAATTATTACAGTAAGTTTTTTATGTTTGGTATTCTTTATTTTATTTCATTATTCTTTTGTTTTGATAACTAATTAATGTGTTATATGGTGCATGATTTTAAAATGTATCTGAATGAAACTAAATCTGCCATAGGAAAAAGTGAAATAGATGTTTACTTGTATGAATACACAATAGATGATGATGACATTGTTGAATTTTATATTCTTCAATATTGCAGGAGAAATGAGAAAAAGTTTTCCATGCTCTTTATAATTGCTCGAGATGTACTTAGTATTCTCATTACTACAATAACACTGGAACCAACTTTTAGTATTGGTGGACGTGTACTTACAAAATATAAAAGTTTTGTTCTTCTTAAACATACCCAAATATTGATTTGTTATAGAAATTATGTGCATGAGTTTTCTCAAAATGCTTATGGTAAGATTTTATATTATAGTATTTTAGAATTATGAATTATCTTAGGATTGTAGGTCTAATTGTGTTTAATTGGTTATGGATTTTAGATGACGATGATAGTTTTAGGCATGAGGCAACAATAGGAAAGTCTAAGGTGCCTCAAGATATTGAAAATTAATGACTGAAGCTTATGCTCTTTTAATTATATTTTTATATTTTGTATTGTGAGTTCTTTAATTAGTTTCTTATTGTTTTTCTTAATTGTTGATTAATCTTTTTTTGTTGATTGTTATAGGAAAATGGTGAAGGCGAGAAGTAGATTTTTTTTTTAATTTTTGTTTTGTTGAACCTTTAATTTGATTGAATCAAATTTTGTTGATTAATGATAGATGTTGTGACTAAATCTTCCTTAATCATTTATATTATTCTTATAACTAAATTGTGATTGTTGCAGTTATAAAGAATTATGACATTCTAGTATTATGAGTTATTTGTTAGCTGATTTTTTTTTTGTTAAGTGATGCTTTTGGTTTGTTAAGCTTATGAAAAGTACGAAATTATTTTTATAGATTCTTCTATGTGAGATGGTATGTTTATCTTAATTTTATAGAAAACATGATTATCATAAAATATTAATTTTATTTTAAAAATTAATATTAGTTAAAATATTATTTTTGTTTTAAAATAAATTTATCTTTATTTAATATTTTTTATTAAAAATAAGAAATGAAAAAATTGTCTATAAAATAGATTAATTAGCACATAAAATAAGTTTGTTTATAGAATGAATTAAAATAAGTTTTTAATAGTTGAATTTATTATATTTTGTAAAAAATTTGGTCATGGGCTAGTCTTAGGGGTGGGTATATGGACTTGGGTCCGCGGACTGGTCTGTAAGTCTGCGGACTTCACGGATAACGGACCCATTTTTTTTAATTTGCATAATTATACGGACTTTTTAGGTCCGACCCGTTTAATCCGCGGATTTTACGGATTTAATCCGCGAGTCCGCGGATTACCCGTTTAAATGTGGACTCAAATTTTATTATTGGAGATGTTTGATTATATTTGATAGATGTAATTGGATTTACAAATATTTTATGTTTGTTTTTAAGATATTAATTAAGACTTTGATGTTTTAAGGTATTTAGACTTTGATGTACTTGGACTTACAAATGTTTTATATTTGTTTAGTTGTATATTAAGACTTTTAAAGTTTTAAGATAGTAAGACTTTCATATTTGGTTAATAGTTGGTATGCTTAGACTTTAAATTTTAAAGGCATTGAGACTTAAATATTTCTATTAGAAATTTAGAATGTGTAAACTTTGTTATTTAAGACTTTGATTTATTATTTACAATATTTAATGTTATTATTATAAATATATTTATATCATTTTATATTTTTTTTCCTCATGTTTTCATAGGTTAAATAAAGGAAAAAAATTCAAAATCTGAGTCAATATTCATTTAAACAATTTAGATTTAATTAGCCCCGCGAACTTATCTGTCTATTCGCAGGCTGGATACAGACTTGAAGATTTAAGTCCATTTATTTCACGGACCGGATTTATCCAACCCGTTAAAATGTGAACTTCGCAGATCGGGCCTTAAACGGGCCGGACCGGTTCGCATTCCCACCCCTACCTAGCCCTAGCTCGCAAGACTTTGTGGACATTTTTTTTTAGCCAATAGCCATAGCCAATGTCACTAATTTCCTCTATTAACTGTGCAACCATCAGAATTTCATCGGTAGAATGAGTAGAATTTGACCTCGTCCCTCATTTTAGAGCATCTCCAATGGGAGTTGCTTATAAGCAACTCCCAATCATTTTAAATGGGTCCTACTATGCCATGTCACTCATAAGCAACTCATACTATACTTTTACAATTTTTGCTCCAATGGAAATTTCTTATAAGCACTCTTACTTTTTTACAACTCATACTACACTTTTTGACACCTCACACTACATTTTATGATAAATTTTTATAAAATTAATTATTATAAATAATATATAAATATAAATAATTAACAAAAACAAATTACATAATTAAAAAATTACAATAATAAAATAATATTAAAAATTACAATAATAAAATTATAATAATAAAATTACAATAATAAAAAAATTGCAACTCTTCCTCATTTTTCTTTCTCGGCTCATTTTTTTCTTCCCCGTCTCTCTTTCTCTCAAACTCTCTCTCTTGCTCTCTATTTGCTGAGCCACGCACGCGGGGGAGGGGGTTCCGGTCGACAGCCGCGCGCAGGGGGAGGGGGTTCCGGTTGGCAGCCTCGCGCAGGGGAAGGGGGTCTGGTGGGAGCTGCTCGCACGAGGGAAGGAGG